ATTGTGAAAGGGAAAAGAAAGAATGTTTCCGGTTTTAGCAAAGATGGCTAAGCAAGTGCTATCAATGCCGGTTTCAACAGTTGCCGTGGAACAAGAATTTAGTTCGACCGGCAACGTCCTTACGCAATCTAGAACGAGCTTGAGCGCGGAATCTCTTGAGACGCTTATATGCTACCACGATTGGTTGAAGGCGGCCCGTAGAACTCAAGAAATGAGCATCACCCTCTCCCAACACTTTATGGATGAATCAACCGAGGGTGGCTCTACCAATGACGGAGATTCCGATTGATTAGTATTTTAAAATTTATTATAAATGTATTTCATGTTTTTAATTTATCCTTCAATTCTCAATTGTAATTTGTAAACTTGTAGTTCATATTTTCAAATAAATATACGTTCAATTTTTATATGTAGCATTTCTCAAATTAATTAATTGATTATTAATTATATTATTACTTATTAAATGTATTTTATATTAAAAGAGATAATGTAGTTGGAGATATGTAATATGTTGTAACTTGATAAGGCGAGTTTCCTTATTTCAGAAGTCATATTTGTTTCTAAAAGAATTAATGCACCCCCATAATTGAAGGCTCTGAAATACGGGCGGACAGATTCTTAGGAGGGAAAAGTCTCCTGTTTGTTTCGAGGTTGCACGAATCAAATTTGTGACCTTTTTGAAAAGTAAAGCAAAGAGGAGCGTTTGGGCCGACCACTCCTAATATCTCATCTTTCCTTTTTGCAAAGCGTGCCGACCGCTAATTGGTTATCAGCCTCAGCCAAGTTTTCTTATGGTCCAACATTGTCACCTGCTCAAGTGCTCATCCTTGCCCCTGTTGTACATAGCTTCTCTTTTACACAGAAATGCTCACGTCCCTCCCTTCCCTGTCCAGCCGTCGTCCGAATTCCACTTTTTGGGGTGGTTCTCGGTTGAACTTTTTGATGAATTTTTTTGAGCATGTTCTTAATCAAGTTTAGTTTATCCATACCAAATTTCAGCTCAAAATTCGATAGCGAAGACATTCAAATCATTTTTTGAAGTTGACTGCGTTTTTATATGTATATTTTGGCGCAGTCAACTTCAAAAAAATGATTTGAATGTCTCCCCGGTCGAATTTTGAGCTGAAATTTGGTGTGGACAAACTAGACTTGATTAAGAACATGCTCAAAAAATTTCATCAAAAAATTCCACCGGGAACCGCCCCAAACGGAGGAGTTCGGACGGTGGCTTCCGTCCCTCCGGCTGGACCTGAGCATTCCTCCTCTTTTATAACAATAAAAAACTAGGTTTATGGTGGGGAAGCACATGTTTTTAATTTGAGTGAAATTTTCTGATCTAGTTTGATCTAATTTGCTCTAGTTTATTTAAGTCTGGTTTTGTCTGAATTAGTCTCGTAAATTTATGGTCCTTCTGATATAGCTATTGAAGTTTGGTCTTATCTAGGATTAAAAACAGTTAAAAGCATCTCAAGTATAACAAAATGAGTGTTAAAATTGGAAGATTTGGAACATAATACGGAGCAAATGGTACCACTAATTGAGATATTACATTTACTTTTTTTGGAATATCATCTAAACCTATTATAATATCTACTTATAATAATGTCAACATCCTTGATTAGAATAAAACTCGAATATGTGATCTTCTCTTTGAGAGATCAACAATGATGACATCAAACCATAAGATAGGTAGCATTGCATTTACTTAGAGAGCTGCTTAGCTTCATTAACAGCAAGGGTTGCTTGGGTATGAAAACTTATCAATTTAATTTGATACGGGGTATAATACTACGTACTTTTTATGGTGAGTATAATGCTTTTATTATTATATTTTACACGGAAATTGATAGGAGACTAGGAGTAATATTTGGCATTTTATATTCTTCTTTCATCTTGCTATGAATAACTCTCTTATACCCAATATAACATGCCAGGCTCCAGATATACTCTCCCTAAGATTTTTATAGCTTTGACTTGATATGTTTGTTAAAAAGATTAGGATGTTTTCTTTTGGACTCAAATTTGTTGGTCTGGTCTGGTCTGTTTAAGTCTGGTCTGGTCTGGTCTGGTAAACGTTTGGTCTCTGTGTATTTTATAACTATCCAAGTCTGGTCTGGTCTGTTTAAGTCTAGTCTGGTCTGGTCTGATCTGATCTGTTTAAGTCTTGTCTGGTCTGATCTGATCTGGTCTGGGGCTGAAAACAGTCCAAAAGAAAACATCCTTAATATGCATAGTTATGGTTAACTAGGAAGGGTTGTATAACATCAAACACATTATTGTTCCCTTCGGAAACAAAAACAAACTTTTAAGGCCGCCTACAAAAAATGGAAAGAAAAATTTAAAATGAAGAGCCTTTAAAGGATTTCCAATGATTGCTTCTAGAAACTTGCTTGCGATTTTGAAGCTACTGGCTTACCATTGGAGCATAACTCTTCTTTTTGCTTGAGAAAACTAATTAGCCTAAATGAGCTACTAGCTTGAGCAAGGAAAATTATTAAATGTCGTATTATAACTGATAAATGAAGATAAAAAAGTTATAACTAACCATTGAAGTATATTTCAATTTTGCTACAAATGCTTATGTGGTTAGTCAAACTATTATATCAATTAGCTAACCGCTGGAGATGCTCTTATATATGTGTACTAAACCGTTCCATTATGTAGAAAAACTTCAATTTCAAGGTGCAAGTGAAAACTTGCCATAAGAAATTAACTTCTCAATTACGATTGAGATCCCCTCCCCCACCAAATTATGTTAACCCATAAATTTTTTTCTTTTATATCATTGCTTATGCAACAAGTTGGAATTGCTGGTGACTATTACTCCCTGTATTTTAATAACAATAATACGGAGTATATGAGACCCATCACACCATTAACGTTCATGATAAATCTTGCTTAACTCTTGTGTCATGAGATGAAATAGAGCAACACTGAATAATAACGCCACTTGCAAGGCACTAGGGAATAATTAGGGAATTTGCTCAAATGCTCAATTTGTCCACTTATACTTCGTGAATGAAGGTGATATTTATTTATTTCAAACCAAACATCACAGAACATTAGGAATTGTTCTCTTATACTAGACTAGATCTAGGCTATCTAGACTTAAAAGGAGGTGACTAAACAAGAACACGCTTAAATGATAATGTATGTAATTCACACAATATGAGACTTTACCACATAGAACCAATTCGAATCAAATCAAATAAGATAATCCTTAAATAAATTTTTCTTGATAAGACCACACTTAAACAATGTAAACCAAATAAAATCTAAAAAATTCAGTTAAAATAAAGGTTTTTAAATAAAAAAAAAATATACTGCAAATACTAACAATCACCAATTTTTAGTACTACGTATCCTCCTAATAAATTGGGAGTGAGGACAGTGTCATAAGTGAGGTACACTTTACATTGTCCCCTGGTGTTGCAAATAATTCAAAATCCATCAAACACATGGCCCCGCCACTGCCTTACCTCTTTTAGCTAAGGGCGTTTGTTCGGGCACCACCTGAAACTAAGCTCTCAAACCTTCTTTTTTCAAAAAACAAATATTCAAACCAGACGCTTGTAAACAACCATATCACCCACTGTCCAATCTTGGAATTTAATGTCTTTTAGATTCAGAGAAAACCCCTTTCTTTCCTTTAACTAGAAGTCCATCTTTCCTCAATAAGAAGAATAACTTCCTGATCGGCTATGTCTGTGGCTTGAAGAATCGTTTACCTTTCAAGAATCAAATATGGTGCAAAGAAAGGTTCTTGGTCAGCTTGGTTTCCAAGCTGATCATCACATAGTAAAGGTTCCCAACCTAGAAGCATCTTATTTGCAGAAACACCAAGATGGGAAGAACAGCAGAGGAACAGACCTGAAGAAGAAGATGATGAAGAAGAAATCTGGCAAAATAAAGCATCCTGAGTTTGAAAACAGCCGGGCCCACCCAAGAAAACCGCCAAGCAGTCCAAATAAGGCTTCTTCTCCATCAAACTCGACCCCAAATTATATGAAATCTACCAGCAGTTCAGATGCAAGAAAAGAAAGGTCTCTTGTAAGTTCCAGAACCCCCCAATCTGTTTCTTCTTCTAATTCCAAGAACCTTTCAATAACTACTTTTGCTAGTAGTAATACTACAAGTTTGAAACATGTAAAAAAATCTCCTAGTTTTAAGCCTGCAAGAATTTGTTCCTCCAATAAATGTTCCCAGAGAGCTACTTGCTCTTCAACTTTGAAGGACTCAAAATTTCCTTGTTACCTGGAACTTAATCCTGGTGGTATTACTTCTGCTATGAAGGTTTGTCCTTATACTTACTGTTCTCTTAACGGCCATCATCACATTCAATTTACCCCATTGAAGAGCTTCTTGTCTGCAAGGAGACGGTCTTTGAAAACACAGAGAAGCTTGAAAATAGGGTGTCTATCTCCCAGCCCAGCAAGGCCTACCGGATTGAGCCTTGACGGAGATGGTCCATATCAGAAACAAGAGACTGAAGAGAGTACGGACATTACCATTGAAATATACTGCAAAGAAAGGGAAGAAACGGAACAGAATCATGCCCCCACAAGTTCACTTCATGAAGAGGTACAGGAGAACAAAGATCCGTTCCCTGTAAGAGATTATTCAGGTGCAGAAGAATCAGATATGGACTGGGAGGGCATTGTAGGTTCATTAAATCATAATGAAGAACCTGATTGTGAGGAACACTGTTCGGATATGAAATCCAGCGAAGTTGTCCTGGATGAGTCCAGCTCTGATGAAATTGTTGCAGAAAACATGGTGCAAGAATCATTTGATGATACAGGAAGCATAAAATCTGGAGCATGTTTAAGTGATGAAGAAACAGATTCCCCCATTTCTTGTCCAGGGCCTGTTTTCAATATCTGTGATCATCAACCAGACACTCACAGTGGTAATGATGATGATGATGAGAATGAAACCACTCAAAAACACCACCATATTTCTGATAAGCTAACAGAAGAGGAGGAAATCCATTCAGTTTTTCATGAGAAAAGCATTATTCTCCAAGAAGATGATGAGATTCCAGTTCAAGAATATCATCAAGAATCTACTGATTTGGATGAAAATAATACTATGCCTAATATGTGTGGTGATATTGCTACTATGGATGGGGTATTTGGTGAAAAAAATCCAACACATTCTGTAAATAAAAACAATGGCGACATATACTTAGAAAAACCGGGTAGTGAATCAGAAGAAGCCTCTCAAGGGGGACTGATTGAAACCAGTGAAGATGGAAGCCTGAAGCCTCAAGAGAAAGGTTGTGATCAAGAGACTTACAGTGTGGAGAAGGAACTGTCTTCTAATGTAGAAACAGAGAAGATAGCAAAAGTAACTGAAAACCAAAATGCAGATATTGAAGTTCTTCCCAGCTTGAGAAAAACATCTAGACACCACAACAGGCTGATTCAAGAGGAGGAAGAAATGAGAGATTTTAATCCACGGGGACCAAATTTTCTTCCATTGAAGCCTGATCCAGAAGCAGAAAGAGTTGATCTCAAGCATCAAATGATCGAGGAAAGAAAGAATGCAGAGGAATGGATGATTGATTATGCACTCCAACAAGCAGTGAGCAAGCTTGCTCCTGCACGCAGAAAGAAGGTGGCATTCCTAGTTGAAGCTTTCGAAACAGTGTCACCAATTCCCAAATGTGAACCTCACCTTAGGCGAGGAACGAAACTATTCCCTCCCAGAAGATACATCCAGGCTTGCAATTGATGAAAAATAAAATCTCAGGTAAATGTAATCTGAACATGTAGGTACTACAAAATTACTTCTGTCTGCATATTTATTTGCAAAATTGAATTACTGCAACATATTATGAATCCTTATACAGACAAAGAACGATCTCCATGTCATGGTGAGGGGGGAGCCAGTGAAGAATGCTCATTCACAAATATGCAACCTTGCTCCCAACATATGGAGGAAAGCACAGGAATTAGAAAGCTGCATTCAGAGATTCTATGATGTGTAACAGCTGAAAGCAACTAACTGTGTTCTAATTTCTTACATTACTTGATGCAGAGAGGGGATATAAACAATATTCCCTCAGTTTATTGTGTAATTTCTGGATTATGTGGAACTTTAAGCTAATGATATGATGAGATCTGTTATAACTGGTAGTGGTAGTATAGCATTAACTGAAACTCATGAATATTTTAGTAAACCTGAGCGTTAGAACAGAATGCCGGAATAGTGAAGAGCATAGCCAACACTAAGCTCTCCTGTTGAGAAGCGGCAACGAATGCCTCTTCAACACTATCTCAGCCGCGTCAACCTCTCGGTAAGCGTGAAAGCCCGATCGCCTCTTTCCTAACCTTCTCCGGCTGCGAACTTTTATGCTGTTCTAATTAGAGTGTCGAGAGCGGTAACACGAAAATTTGCTATTCCGTTGATTCTCGTAAAATTTGTGAAAAATTTTGTGAATAAATTTTTTAAGAAAAAATTGCTTTTAAAATATATTTTATGAATACTTCGTCACTTCCGGGTTAATTGCATAAATGGTATCTCAACTATTGATAATGTTGCATTTTGGTACGTTAACTCTTAAATGAATCAAAATGGTACCTTAACAATTCATTTAAAAATTACACGTGGCATTCAAATTTATAAGACACATATTTACACATATAAATATTTACACTTTACAATTTTATATTTGATATATATATATATATATAATAAAAACAAAAACAACTGCAGGGGCTCAAGCACCTCCGAGCCCCTTGCTAGTTCCGCCCCTGTGTATAATAACATGCATGTAAGAACAAAATTTTTATGCCACTCGGCACACTACATGCATGCATGCAAAAGAGAACAAAATAGCCTAGGCAAGTATAAATAAATACACACGCAGAAATGCACAATACCTGTTCTCATGCGTAGTATAATTAAGATCATGAATAACCCATTAATGCCTACTATTAAAACAACAATGTATAAATAAGGTAGAAGTAATAGAGAGGTAGTGAAGGGATTGAGCCTTCGATCTGGAATAAAAATAGACCATGTGTATTAACATTTAACAAGACAAGTAATGAAGGTATGAACTGTGAATTCGAATTTCTATTAAGAATATGAGATGAAATTAATTCTATCACATACGTAGTATACTAGTATGTATGTTAAATTGAATTATATGCATATGAGTATCAATGATCAAACGTAGCTAGATTTGAATATTATTAAATGCTCCGTATAATTATGTAAATCTCAACTTACGACTTATCCGTAGTAGGAGTATATAACAAGGTGGAGTTTAATTTATTGTTTGAAATAACATGAACTGGAATATTTAGGATGTTTTTACTTGGACTGTAATTTGCTGGTCTGGTCTGGTCTGGTCTGGTTTGAACTGGTCTGGTCTGGTCTGGTAAGGTCTGGTTTCTTTGTATTTTTATAACTATCCAAGTCTGGTCTAGTCTGGTCTGGTCTGAACTGGTCTGGTCTGGACTGGTCTGGTCTGGTCTGGTCTGGGACATCTTTATTGTAACATGTTAGAAATTTATGTGAAACCTATTAAACTCAAATATACTTCGTATTACTTATACTACCTCCGGTTTTTTTTAATCTTCACAGTTTGACTTCACACAAAATAAGGAAAGAAATTTGACTTTACTGTAGAGTACACTGTTGAGGCACTGTTTGACACTGTTTAGCACTGTAGAGACACTGTTTGGCACTGTTGAGACACTGTTTGGCACTGTTTGACACTGTTTTGATGTAGATTTCTTTGCCAAAAAAGGAAATAAGGAAGTGTGAAGTTTATTTTAGACCGTCCCAAAAAGGAAAGTGTGAAGTTTATTAAAAACCGGAGCGAGTATCTATTAGATATAAGTAATTTTTGGTTGGTTATAACGATGATGTCATTTTTTTTATGGAAGCTGATAACCAGAATAGTAATCATTCATACATGCTTATTTCAAGCAAATAAAAATACGGGAAATGGAATTCGAAATCTTGTTTCTGGATTCGGATAGGTTGGCATGCCAATAGGGATAAAAACACGGTCGTAGAATTTGATCAATGATTTCGGGTCCGTAGCCACCGAGTGGACATCACCTAACTCTTGATATTTGACACACGCGCGCTTCTATACGGGTCCGTAGCCACCGAGTGGACAGCACCCAAAATGTTCGTTTACGGGTCCGTAGCCACCGAGTGGACAGTACCCAAACGAACCCCGGCCAGAGCCACCGAGTGGTCAGTGCCAAAATAGTTCTCTAATGGTCCGTAGCCACCGAGTGGACAGTACCAAAGATGAGAACACCCCGTTTATCCAGTCCATTAAACTAAGAAGTAGAATTCCAGAAATGTGATAAAAAAATAAAAGTGTGAACACATACAATATGACAGAGAATGAAACTGGGCAAAAGATGAGAATTGAACAATTGAACATTTAAGTGAGACAAGCGAATGCCGAATGCAATATTGAATTACGGCGAGCTTTGATACTGCTCATGTGATTTTGGACTAGATACTGCTCATGTGATTTTGGACTATGAGATGTAACTGTGAAAATGGAGGCAAAAAGAATGAAAGGGAAAATGCGAAAATAGAATTATGAAAATGAAAGAATTTGAATATAAAGATAAGAAAAACGATAGGAGAATGTAACACTTATATTCAATTGATAGATTAGATTTTGCTCGTGAATTAATATTCTGAAACAGGCTAATGTTGACTAATACGAGAGACAAGGGGATAAATTAATACGTAGTATTGAGTAATAAGTTACGATTTTACGTTAATATCCTGATAAGAAAAGTATACGATACTTTGAATATTGATTTATATGCTATATAGAAAATTACGACATATTAACAACTCAAATACATTACAATAACTACTTTGAATAAAATGCAATATAATGAAGTAGTTACCACCTATTATTCTGTATGAACGAAATGGTATTATACGTTTTGAAATGTTTAATTTTGATCGATTTGATACTCCGTATGATTCTTGATATTAGAAGTTTGATACAGGAATGTTGTAAAGGGGTTGTACTGTTTTACATATTCAATACGGTTTAATAGCTATCAAGGATTTTATATTAAATCTGGTTTATAAGCTAATCATAATTGAATTAGTTGTGCTTATAAATAACTATATTGAGATTTCAAGGAGTTGATTTTGTATATTATTATTAAATGAATTGAAAAGCTACTTGAAATGAAATGTATTCTTTTGATATTTGTAATTAAGACAAAGGGTAAAATCGTTCTTGATAAATTTGTATTTTCAACAACGAACCAATTATATTTGTGAATGTCATTCTTAATTGTTGAGTTATTTTATTATATTTGACATCGATATTGTATGGTGAAAGAATGAACACCACTAAGCAAGTTTTGCTTAGCGCGTTGGATTTTTGTCCTTCGCGTAGGTACGTAGTCGATACGAGGCAAAGTTCAAGGAAAAAAGCATTTGGGAGCAACCTGTCAATCAGCACAGAGTCACACTTTCATTTAGTGATAATTTATTTATAGTCTACATCATTCATGTGTAGTAAGCATGTTAGTAGAATGTAATAGCAACACTTAACTCTTTAAGTGTTATGTATAAAATATATGGATGCCTTCGCAATTATGAACGTTTATAAAATTACTATTTCGTAAAGTTACAATCATCAACTCTTTTTAAAATAAAAGTATTTTTGGACTAGTAAAAAAAAGACAATGAAAAGTTAGTCTCCGCTTTGGTGCTCCGGCACTGTGGGTAGCGCTCCTTGCCCAAGCCTTCCGGGCCGGGTAGGGGGTGTTACAAGTAATCCTATTTGTGGTTTTTAGGAACTCATTAGTCTTATTTAGTAAATTCAACCAATACAGCCAGAAAAGTAACTTAAACCTCACATTTTCTTATTATACACAATTCAACTCGCGAAAACAAAAGTTACGTGTTTGGTGAAAAAGTTGGCTGATAAGTCCGATAAACCGAAAAAACAGTGTTACCAAACAGCCTCTCAATTTCAATTTATTTCGCCTTTATTCTCAACTGTGGCCAACGCATGCTAATCATTTCATAATAATTATTCCACGTTTTTAGGATTTCCAGTAATTGTCTCGTATATAAGAGTAAAATATAGAGAAAAAATTTAAACAGCTACCCATGGATGAAGGACATTCAACTTAGTTAATCGTTTCTCCTAGGTCAGCCGCCTCTAGGCTTTTTTTCCGAATTCGATCATATTGATCGGAGTTCGGCTGTTCTTGTTCGCATATCTGGCCGCGGAGCAGTGGTTTGCTTTTGGCTAAGGTAGAGCGATCACGAGTTTTTCTCTCTAGGGCTTTGACTATGTCGGCCGCTGGAGCCTTTTTCCGATTTCGACTTTGTCGAAGATCGGCTTTGTTATCCCTTGGTCGTTGGTACTCCACTGGAGTCCAGGTCAGACGCGGAGGGCGGGGATCGGTGGAGGAGGGCAGATTTGCTGTCATGGCTCGAGGAGATCGGCGCTGTGGTCAAGGTTCGAGGATGCGGCGTTGCTGTCGTCGTTGGAGAAGATCGCCGCCGCCTATCTGTTTACTCTGGTCGCACAGAGCAGGGATGAGTTTGGTTATGCAGGGACGGAGGATTAATGCATAGTCTTCGGCAGCCAAAGGTCATGGAGGATCAATTAACATGGTACCAGTGGTACGACCTCCTCCTGAACCACCACCATGGGATGCACGAGGTGCTAGAGTTCGTGAACGTTTTTCTTGTAGTTTTTATCTGTTTGTTATTTGTTTTCTTGCGTCCATTTTTGTTGTTGGGTTTGACAGTTTGTTTGAGTTTTTTGCCTCTCTTTATGTCATTGGGTATGGTTGGATCTATGGGAATAGGTTTGGTTGTGTCAAGCCCACTACATGGTTAGCGATTCGTGTTGCTCTCTCAGGGGTGACCGTCTCAAAGTCTCACCATAGGGTTACAACTGTAGTTGTTGGAGTTTCAGTTGGTGTCTATTTTATTTTCCCTTTGCTTGATGTAATGATCCTGAATCTTTTGATATGAATAGAGGCATGTTTTGATGATAAAAAAAAAATTAAACAACAACCCATTTCCGTAAATAAATCAAATTTCTCACTATTTTATACGTATTCACTTTGTCAATTCAATTATTACTGCAATCCATCCACCAT